TTTTTTAGAGAAATTTTGGCTATAGGTCGTGTGCGCTGGCTGGAGAGACAGAAAGTGAGAAGTCACACCCCCTGCGGGGATGGCCACGTGCAATCCCTTCTCCATTCTCCTCTTGGGATCTTGGGCATGCACACACATGTACCCGACATGAGGTTTCAGCCACCGGGTTCAGGACTCGAACCGCGGTTGACTATGTGGGAGTCCAGCCATGTAACCATTATGCCATCTGCTGGTTCCCCAGTAGAGACATTTTTATAGGCTGTTTGAGAGAAGGAATACGTTTTTCCTTTTGTTTTTACAGATTGACAAAAAGTATTTGGCTCATGTGAAGATTAAGGTAATAAAGGCATAACTCCTTTATAGCCCAGGGAAGGATGCACTATTTAATGGTTTAGTTTATGAGATAGTTAATAGCTTAGAGTTTTTAGTTTTGTTACCCAGTGTTGCACCATTAAGAGTCATATTTAATTGTAACGGAAAAAAGCTACTTGAGATAGGTAGCTTTTTGTGAACCCATATGATTGAAAGCTTAGGAATAAAGGGGTTTTTATGAGTTAGAGTATTTTTTATAAATACGTAAATGTTTTTTGAGTAGAAAATGTTAAAAATTTGTCTAGTCATTTTCATTTTCAGAGACTGAGGTGACTTCATATTGTTTAACAGCATTTCAGTAAGTTTTGTCACGTGGCTGGTGTTAGTCTGTTTTTATTTCAGAATTTACCAGTTAATGGATTGGTTTTGTTACTTAGAAAGCTGGACTTTTTTTGTGTGTATTGTGGTTGATATCACAGCGAAAGGTACTACTATTTTGGGGGGGCAAGGAGGTTTTTGCTGTAGGGTGCTTGTGCTCACCTGAGTGACAGAGACAAGAGAGATATGAAGTGAGAAATCATCCCCCAGGGGGGATGGCCACACCTCAATCCCTTCTCCCTTCTCCATTCTCCTCTTGGGATCTTGGGCAGGCATGCACACACGCCATGCGTGAGTTTAAGTCATCTGATCCAGGACTCGAACCTCAGTCGACTACATGGGAGTCTAGAGAGGTAGCCATTACGCCATCTGCTGGTTCCTCTTTTTTTTTTTTTTTTTAAAAAAAGGTTAATGGTGAACTACTTATTGATACTTTTGTTTATAGTAAAGGATGAAGAAAAACTCAATGCTCTGAGTGTATCAGAGTTGTATTTATTTATTTATTTTTTGAATTTTTAGATTTTTGCCGTAGGACACGTGTAGTTGCCAAAGAGAGACTGAAACACAGAGATAATGAGAAATTAGCCCCTGGGTGATGGCCATGCCACAGTCCTTTCTCTATTCTATCAGGAGTTTGGACATCCATGTCTATGTTTCTGGTATGATTTTCAGGCCATCTGGTCTAGGACTCAAATCTTGGTGGGTCATGTGGGAATCTAGTGCCTTAACCACCACAACACCTGCAGGTCCTGATTGGATTTTAACTGGTCAGTTTTAGGGAGATAAAATACACAAGCTGTGTCACATTGTTGCTTATTAACCCTTCATTTGGGGCCCCCCTCCCCTTTTTTTGAATGCCTTGTTCTGTCTTATGCAGGATAATACTTTAATGTCTAATAATGAGGTTATTTTTCTGTAACTTCCATTTCTAGGCTTGGTTTGGGGAACACAATTCCTTCGAAGGTTGGCAAAATGCCCAGAATGGTAGTGTGGACTATGTGTGGGAAACTGGGAATTTATTGGATTCAAAAATATACCTAGACTCAGGCTGGCCCTGTAGCCTAGCTGTTAAGGAAGCCATATTCCACATGGTTGGCTAACCGTTTGAATCCTGACTGTAGCAGTTTGGAATATGTTGGATATGTTTGCTTTGTGCTTGTCCTAAATCCTGACAGGATAGAGAAATGAAAAGGGGATTCCAGCATGACCGTGCCTGGCTAGGGGATGCTTTTTTCTCCTCCTCTTCCTCTGATGAGTGCACATGCATTCCTCTGGCAATTAAAAGAAAAAAATTATTCTCGACTTGGAAGATTCTCAACCAAATTAGGTACAGTCACTTTTTAAAGGAGGTGTTAGGGTAGATAATACTCGGCTTTAGAAGTTATTGATGGGGACCAGCAGTTAGCGCAATGGCTATGTTGCTGGACTACCATGTTGTTAACTGCGGTTCGAGTCCTGGACCTGGTGGCTTAAAACTCAATCCAAGCACATGTGTGTGTGTACCCAAGATCCTGAGAGGAGAATGAAAGAGAAGGGATTACAGCATGGCCATTCCCCCCTGGGACGTGATTTCTCGCTTTCTGTATCTCTGTCTCTCTGGCGAGCGCACGCATCCTATGGCAAAAACCTCTTCAAAAAAAAAATTTATCGATTGATCTTCATTTTTTGTCCACTGAACACTACTTAGTATAAATTAGTTGAGGACTAGAAAATAATTTGAGTAGGATCCTGAAATTTTGACAATAAAGGATATAATAAGAACACATTAAAGGGGAAATTTTAGGGACCAGCAGATGGCATAGTGGTTATGTCGCTGGACTCCCACGTAGTCGACCATGATTCAAGTCCCTAACCTGGCACCTTAAAACTCACTGGGTGCATATGTGTGTGTGCCCATGATCCCAAGAGGAGAATGGAGACAGGACTGTAGTGTGGCCAACCCTACCCTGCCCCCGCCCCTGGGTGATTTCATGCTTTCCGTCTCTGGCTAACATGTGTGCCCTATAGCCAAAAACACTCTCAATAAAAAAGGTGGGGAGAATTCTAAGACAGAAACTAGAAACCTGTTTGTGAGGGAATGTCACCAATATAATTGGAAAAACTTCGGACAAAATTGATTTTAACTGCTAAGTACATGGGTATGGTCGTGTGAACTTTATGCATTAATGATATTTGAACTTTTAAAGGCACTCTTGGAAAGAACAGGCTACACACTCGATGTGACCACCGGACAGAGGAAGTATGGGGGACCACCTCCAGATTCCGTTTATTCAGGTCAGCAGCCTTCTGTTGGCACTGAGGTAAAGAAACTAAAAACTTGTACCTTTTGTAGTAAAAGCGCAGGTGTCCAGTTTTCTAAAGAAATTATCCATGGTTTTTACTTTATATTTAACTTACAGATATTTGTGGGGAAAATCCCAAGAGATCTATTTGAGGATGAACTTGTTCCATTATTTGAGAAAGCTGGGCCTATATGGGATCTTCGTCTAATGATGGATCCACTCACTGGTCTAAATAGAGGTTATGCGTTTGTCACTTTTTGTACAAAAGAAGCAGCTCAGGAGGCTGTTAAACTGGTAAGTTATTTTTCCTTCAATTTTCACATACAGAATATATTTTATTAGTTTTTTACTTATTGTATCTAAGAGTTTACAATTTTTTGAAGTGCCAGTTAAGCAACATTTTTCATACTCTTAGGTAAATGTTGTAGCAGTATTTTTTGCATTTATAGTTGGTATAGGATTCAGAGTGAGTTAGTGTGGTAGAATTTCTGGTTATTGGTTCTTAAAACATCTGGTTTAGGGACTTCTTTATGTTTCTTTGTTTAATAGGAATGTGAAAAGGTTTGAGAACATAACCGTGATAGGGCTTCTGTAGTTTCTGGCCACACCCGGCTCATCTCTTTTTTTTCTAAAATATTTCACTGGAGACATTGTGATAATTTCTAGTTAATGAAGTAAAGGATTCTGTGATAGGTGACAATATCTGATTTAAAAATACTAGATGTTAGATGAGGACCCAGTTATTTTTTCAACTGGTTGATAAAGAAATTTCAATGTTTCAAATTATGGCTTACCTAGTTCCTTCAAATTAGTTTTATGAAATTGTGTGACTCAAGTTGTTTCTGTATCTTGTAGTTGGAGAATTGGAGGTTAATTTAAATCTGGAATATACAAGGAAACAATCAGAAAAGAACTTCTGTATGTGGCACACTATGGCATATGTTGGTTAGATTTATCTTTATCTGGCTTACATATATTGGGGTTAATTCTAAGCAAACTTACAATCTTCAGATTGATTACAGTTTTTTTCTTCATCAGATATATCTCATTTTAATACAAAACTTAAGGAAAAATAAAACATATACTTTGTTTTGCTGTCCCCATTGGTATGTATAATAGAATGTAGTGGAAGTTTAATGTTAGAAAAGTATGCTGTTTCAGAGTGTGGGTGTTTTTAAAAAGAATTCAGGAGTTTAGATACTTCTTTTTAAATCATAGCTGATATCTCCCTCTGAAACAATGCCTTCTGTATCAGCCAGGTGTCATGGTGGTTAAAGCAGCTGGATCCTATGTGACTGACTGCCTGGTTTGAGTGGCAGACCGACCAGGTGGCTTGACAAACTTGCTAGGTACATGTCATGTGTGTGGGCCCAAAATCCTGCAAGAATGGAGTAGAAGGGATCGTGATCAAGCTATCCTTACTCTTCCTGGGGATACTATCTCACTTTCTGCCTCTGCCTTTCAAACCCATGTACCTACCCTATAACAAATTTAAAAATAGAGACAGACAGAATTAAGTTTAAAAATACTTTCTGCATTAATTGGTGTCTTCTGATCTGTCAGAATTTTAGTTGGAGCTGCTATGGGGAAAATGCAGGACTTTTTAGAGCTTTAGAAAGGTACTTTAGAAAATCATCCATTTTAATCCATAAAAGCATAGAATGTTTTTGCTAGGTAGCAATTTTTATTTTATTTATTTATTTATTTATTTATTTTTTGCTCTAGGATACTTGTGGTTCCTGTAGAGAGACAGACGAGCTAGAGAGAGGGAAAGTGAGGAATCACCCTCTGGGGAGATGGCTACACAGTCCCTTCTCCATTTTTCTGTTGGGATTTTGGGCATGCATGCACACACACCTCTGGCATGTTTTTCTTTTTTTGAGAGAGAGATTTTTGCGACAGGGCTCTTGCACTCACCAGAGAGACAGAAAGCAAGAAATTACACCCCTACCCTTACCTCCACTCCCGCTGGAGGGTGGCCATGCCATAATTCCTTTCTTCTCCATTCTTCTCTCAGATTTTGGGCATGGACCGATATATAAGTCCACGGGTCCCGGACTCAAACTGTTGTTGACCACAGGAGAGTTCAGTAGCTTAACCACTATACCACCTGCTGGCTCCTGACATGTTTTTCAAGTCACCAGATCTGGGATTTGAACTCAGATCACTAAGTTGGCCATGTGGGATCTAGTGCTTTACCCTTTGTGCCACCTACTGGCCCCTAAAGTCAGGTTTCTTTTTTTTTCCCTCAAAGAATTAATTTATTTGTTACTGTTACTTGTTTAATTTGACCAGAGAGAGAGATGTGGGGTGGGAAAGTGAGTAAACAAGCCACTGGGTCCAGGACTTGAACCATGGTCAGCCATATGGGAGTCCAGTGCCTTAACCACTACATCACTTGGCAGCCTCTTAAACTAAATTTTAAGGTGGAAATGCAGAAAGATTGAGAAGGCAGTAAGCTATCTTACTACTAAATTTACAGAATTTAGCCTGTCACATCAGACCTGTTTTTAAAAAGAATCACAAAACTGACATTGTAGGATACTGATTTCTTGCCATCAGCACATAATAATTACTCTGGATCTGCACTAGAATTTATTTTTAGGTGATTTCCAGAAACTTAAAGATGGTCATTAGAGATTGTGTATAATCTGCTAAAATTATGTGAGTTCAAATGCCAGTGAGTAGACATTTCGAAATGTTTCAATTTGGACAGTTGTCTTGTCTTAACAAATGTATTACAATCTGAAATTGCATTGCTGTAGGCTGCTTAGAGTATAGACTTACTGGAAAAAGTTTTTTTTTTTTTTTTGAGAGGTTTTTGCTATAGGGTGCATGTGCTCGCCAGAAAGACAGAGACAGAAAGCAAGAAATCACTCCCCAGGGGGGATGGTCACCCCGCAATCCATTCTCCTCCATTCTCCTCTCGGGATCTTGAGCACGCACGCACACACGCCCGGCGTGAGTTTTAAGCCACCGGGTCCAGGCCGCGAACCGCGGTCGACTACGTGGGAGTCCAGCGACATAGCCATTACGCTAACTGCTGGTTCCCTAGAAAAAGTTTTATAACTGTAAAGTGGGAACTTCCTTAAATAACCAAGCAACTTCTGTGGTTGGTCTAGGAGCTAATTGTTAGCATAAACCTTTTTTTTTTTTTTTTTTTTTTTGATTTTGCTATAGGGTGCATGTGCTCGCCAGAAAGACAGAGACAGAAAGCCAGAAATCACCCCCCAGGGGGGATGGCCACGCCATAGTCCCTTCTCGGGATCTTGGGAATGCACACACATGAGCCTGGCATGAGTTTAAGCCACCGGGTCCGAGACTCTAACCTTGGTCGACTATGTGGGAGTTCAGCGACATAGCCATTATGCTAACTGCTGGTCCCAGCATAAACTTTTTATATTTCTGTCTCTGGTTTTCTCTGTTGTAGTACTTTGGGACCTTAATTATTTTTTACCTGATGGGAGTTTACGTTTTGGTGCCTTTAAAAGATGTTTCTTATGGTATGCATCTCTTGTAATGAATTGGATGTATCATCATTTGCTCTTTTATTAATCATACTTTAGTATAGATAGGACTTGCCTTAGTACAGAAATAAGACTGGACTTTAGAGGAAATCAGGTATTGACATTATACAGAAAAAAAAACACACATTGCTTTTGATGGGTTTTCTTACTTTGTATTCACTTGTAGAAATGAATACCCCTTTTCTTAGTATATTGCTCAACAGAACACACTTTGGAAACTATCTCTACTTGTGTCTGTATCCAAGGTTATTTTACCTATTTTTTAAGGTTTTTGCCATGGGACATGTTCATTCACCAGAGGGAGGAGAGAGGGAAAATGAGAAATCACCCCTCAACCCCAACCCACTCCTGGGGCTTGGCCACTCCTCCATTCTTTCTCCATTCTTCTGTGATTTTTGGCAGGCAGGCATGTGCACGTGCCTGGTGTGGTTTTTGGGCCACCAGCATAGAACTTAAACCATAGGGAATCCAGCATCTTAACCACTATGCCACCTGCTGGCCCCCTGAGGTGAATTTTTGTATGATTGAAGTGTCATTCTAGTTATACGTAAATAACTAAATATTGGGAAATGTCATCTTTGTATTATTTATAAATCAGATAATATTGAAGTGCTTTCTGCTTCCCTTTGTCTTGAAGGATTATGTTTGGTTGAGATAGTTTTGTGGTAGTTGAAAAATGATTTTTTTTTTCTCTATGTTAAAAACTGTTGTAGGGATAGGGACCAGCAGTTGACATAATGGCTATGTCACTGGACTCCCACATAGTCGACCACGGTTTGATTCAGGACCCGGTGGCCTAAACTCATGCCGGGCACGTGTGCATGCGTGCCCAAGATACCAAGAGGAGAAAGGAGAAGTGATTGTGGTGTGGCCAATAGCCCCTAGGGGGTCACTTCTCGCTTTCTGTCACTCTTTCTCTCTCTCTCTCCTTCTGGTGAGTGCACACACCCTATAGCAAAAACCTCTCCAAAAAAATTAAAACAAAAGAAAAAAACAAAACTGTTGTAGGGACCAGTAGATGGCATGGTGGTTGAGGTGCTGGATTTTCATATGGCCAACCATGATCTCAGTCCTGAACCCTGTTGGCTGACGGTGGCTTTGTCTTGGACCAGACAAAACTATTGTAGATCTCAGGACCAGCAGTTAGCGTAATGACTATGTCCCTAGACTCCCACGTAGTCGACTGCAATTCGAGTCCTGGATCCAGTGGCTTAAACTCACGCCAGGCGTGTGTGAGTGCGTGCCGAAGATCCCGAGAGGAGAATGGAGGAGAAGAGATAACGGCATGGCCATCCCCCTGGGGGGTAATTTCTCGGTTTCTGTCTCTCTGTCCGTCTTTGTCTGTCTGGCGAGTGCACGCTCCTTTAGCAAAAACCTCTCCCCCCAAAAAATTGTTGTAGATCTTAAATCTGCACGTTAGTTATTTGTAAAAATAGGTTAATTGATAATAACTGAAAAAGAGGAATGAAGTTAAAAGCAACTGCTAGTTTTTAAAATGAATGTTTTCAGACAACATCTGCCTTGTATTTTTTGGGGGGAGAAAGGTTCATCTCTCAATGATGATAATGTAGCTAGGGAAACATGGGAAAGAGATTAACAACTACTATTTGAATTTAAGGGGCAGGAACTGCCTAGGTACTACATTACCTTTAAATTCCACCCCAACCCTTTCTTCCATATAAATAAGTTCACGTTTATTCATTTTGTAGAAGAGTCAGTAGGCAGTGTGATTTGCCTTAGACTTTACAACTAAATCCCACCTCCTTA